AGCTGCATTACACTGCAAGGTGCAAGGTGCTCGGTGGGTGTAGCCTACATGAAAACAGCAATTAGATTTCAGTCAGCAGAGATTTTCCCTGAACACCATCCCAGTGGATTCAGACCAAACCGTTCCTACCGTAGCTGTTGTATATGTGTGAAAATACACCATGGACACAACACTGTACCTGCCCGGTGTACTCAGTGACTGGGTCCATCTGGTAGATCGTGATAAAGACAATCAGGACCCCTTTAGATGTCTCGGGCGTCATTTTGTAAGCCTTGATGAGCTTAGACTGCAGTGGGCACACACAGACACACAAACATACATGGTATCACAGGTAAGACTATAACCAACAAGTCTGCTTCATATATTTATGCTTCTTTTGTAAAACTCTGGATGCAACATCAAGATTTCTTTCAGTTATGCTGTCTTTTTGAAGGCTCACAGTGAGGTTTATGTTTAAAATCTCACTCATGTTTTATGGCATTCACCCTCAGCTCATTTCTCTTAACTAAACAGAACTAAAAACTAACTAAAGAACTAAAACTTTTCTTCACATAGAGCAATGTCACAACTAGTATTGTTTTTGTGAACCGGTGTGTTTGTATGTGTTGTGCGTGAAGAACCTTTTTGAGCATCAGAACAACATCGTGTGTGTGGCCGTATTTGGCGATGACGTCATCGTCCTGCGTCACCACAAACCTGACGTCAGGAAGCTCGACCGCTGTGGCGTAGAACACCTGGACGTACTCGTGGTTCAGCTCCTGCTCACACGCAAACGCACAGAAACTGTCGGAGTGCGGTAGATGCACAACACAATAGAGAAGGGAAATCAAGCGAGGCTTTTGTTTTACCTTAAAGAATCCAACCACTGTCACCTCTTCTGAGGCCTCTGATTGGCTGAGATCAGTGACGAGGTCAGCAGCTGACCCTGCCCTCCGTTTCAGCCAGGTCAAGATGGAAGCCGAGCTCTGAGGAACTTCAGGACAATCCAAGATCACAAATCACTTTACCGTTAATATTTTACCCAAAACAATTAAGATTCAACAGCTGAGGGGATCCTAATAACTCCTGGTGCTCTGCAGGAAATATGAAACAACAGCCAGTAAACTCTAACCACTGGTGTTTCACAACAAATGGCAGGCTAGTTAACTCAAAGAGACACATATCTGAAAAGTTCAAGGCAAAATTTAATGACAGGGTGTCAGCTTTAACAACTTAACTGCAGCATGTGCCTCTTTCATCCTGATCTTTTCGCATGTTTCCAGAATAAGAGCAAACTTTCATACAAAAAATGCAATTAAAATTTGTGCTGGATAACTTTAGAGATATATGGTTCATAATGACTCCAGCCAGGGCTTTCACTGCTGTTTTTATTACCCAGCATCTAGCCATCGGTGGTGCCAGCGAACATCATAATGAAGTCAGAGCACTAGAGGACAAAGCCCTCGAACAGAGGTAGAGGAAGAATCAAACCAAAGCATCTCTTTGTTTCTCTATTGTTTTCTAATAATCAGAACCCTGATTTTTCATTGTCACATGATAAAATAAGTGTGGATCATTTATTTTTCAGCAGTATGCCATATCTGGAGCTACTCCTCTGGGTCATGTCATATGATATACATCGTTCTTGTTAAAAGAATAACTGAGATGAATGAAACTCTTCTGCACCTACCAGGGCAGGCTACTGGGTTGTGTTTATCTCCGGAGAGGTACAGTCTGATTACCGGGTGGCCCGTCGCGTTCAGTTCTTTAGCCAGGTCCTTCTCTTTTGACACATCAACCACTGCCAGCTTGACCTTTGACCCCTTGAGCTCTGCTGCAGCTCCTTGGAAAGCTGTAGACACGCGCTGGCTTTCTCCCGACAGAGGTGCAACTGACAGACACGCAGAGGAAATGAGGATTTGATTTCTTACACACCTTGCAGTCGCCTGTTTGTGCGCTTATCATATGAAAGTATGAAGGTCAAAGGTCATGCTGTACGAGGCTTGATGTTTAACTTACAGAAGTGCACCAGGAGTTGGTCATGCTTTCTCAGCGCCCTTTTGAAATTCCCCTTCTTCAGCTGTAACACTCCGTCTTTCTCTGGGAACTGTTTGTCTTCCTTCGTGTCGGCGGCGACGCATACGCCGAGACAGAAGGCCGTCACGCACAGCAGCAAAAGCCTCTTCATGGCGGTTCAGTCTCACACTGACAAACTTGGCGGGAGTGGCGAAAGGGAGGTCTGATGTGTGTATCAGTGCCGAGGAGGTATAACTGTGAATCCTTGCGTTATCTGCCGCCTGGACCCAGCAGCCTATAGCTGATTAACTTTCCTATCTGAGCACTGCTGTATGTCTGCTATTGGCTGCTGTTCATATCAGGCTCTAGTATCTAAACGCTAAACCCTAACTTTGTTGCCTGTACAAGGTCACACAGCAGACATAAAAGAGGAAGTTACTCACACATTTGTTGTTTGTGTTCATATGCAAAGTGCACCCATTTGCCCTCGAAAATACATAAATGCATGTTTTGTTTTTGGTCCGCAACGAAACATGACCTCAACTTGGCAGAGATACTAAACATTCACTACAGCATTAAAGGCAGGGAAAGAAAGCCCATTTATCACTTTATTTAACAGCCTTTTCATTCTTGATCCCACACTGTCATATCATTTTATCACACTGTTTTTATACTGGACTTAACAGAGGGTTAGATAACAAAAAAAATGTCCGCACAACAATTGCATGGTTAGCTTAGCTTAGCATTAAAGAATAGAAACAGCACCAGGATCACTTAAGCTGGCAAATTATGTTTTATAAAAACTGTTTAATCATAATGAGGTAAGTAAGAACGTTTTATCTGGTGATATAAACAGCAAAATACCAGAAAACTGCTTAAAAATAGATGAGTGCCCTCATTACCTGCAGCTAGCTTGAAGTTTGAAATTGTTTTCATCTGCAAGAGTAGCTAATTTCGGCTAGTTAGTAAATGTTAAGTACCACACAGGTTTTCCTGTTGTTCATATTCTGAGAGATTCATATCAAAGCTCCCTCTGTGCTTGATTGTTTCTTGGTCAGGCTTGCTGGTCTCCAGTGAAGTGACTGATAGCTATCTAGCTGCAAAATCTTTTCAAACATGCCAAAGCCAGGTAAGATATACAAGTTGTGTTTGTCTACTCCACATTTACAGTCCAGGTAAGATACCTACAAGTGTGCTGAATCAAAATTTAAAAGGGTAACTGCTAATACACACTTCCTTTATTCTTTAATAGACCTCATTTTAAAATCTAACATTGGTGCAGAGTCAAAGGTAATGGGATTAAAAATAAAATCACTACTGAAATCAAACAAACTACTACACTGACAGAAGTTACACATACAGTTACTATAAGGAAGCAAATAGTACACCTTCTGTCAGCTCGAAGGTTTTGCATATCAGGATTTAACAACAACAAGTACATCCCATGATTCAGTAGCTTGTAGAACCACCTTTAGCAACCGCAAATTACAGGGAGTGCAGAATTATTAGGCAAATGAGTATTTTGTCCACATCATCCTCTTCATGCATGTTGTCTTACTCCAAGCTGTATAGGCTCGAAAGCCTACTACCAATTAAGCATATTAGGTGATGTGCATCTCTGTAATGAGAAGGGGTGTGGTCTAATGACATCAACACCCTATATCAGGTGTGCATAATTATTAGGCAACGTCCTTTCCTTTGGCAAAATGGGTCAAAAGAAGGACTTGACAGGCTCAGAAAAGTCAAAAATAGTGAGATATCTTGCAGAGGGATGCAGCAGTCTCAAAATTGCAAAGCTTCTGAAGCGTGATCATCGAACAATCAAGCGTTTCATTCAAAATAGTCAACAGGGTCGCAAGAAGCGTGTGGAAAAACCAAGGCGCAAAATAACTGCCCATGAACTGAGAAAAGTCAAGCGTGCAGCTGCCAAGATGCCACTTGCCACCAGTTTGGCCATATTTCAGAGCTGCAACATCACTGGAGTGCCCAAAAGCACAAGGTGTGCAATACTCAGAGACATGGCCAAGGTAAGAAAGGCTGAAAGACGACCACCACTGAACAAGACACACAAGCTGAAACGTCAAGACTGGGCCAAGAAATATCTCAAGACTGGTTTTTCTAAGGTTTTATGGACTGATGAAATGAGAGTGAGTCTTGATGGGCCAGATGGATGGGCCCGTGGCTGGATTGGTAAAGGGCAGAGAGCTCCAGTCCGACTCAGACGCCAGCAAGGTGGAGGTGGAGTACTGGTTTGGGCTGGTATCATCAAAGATGAGCTTGTGGGGCCTTTTCGGGTTGAGGATGGAGTCAAGCTCAACTCCCAGTCCTACTGCCAGTTTCTGGAAGACACCTTCTTCAAGCAGTGGTACAGGAAGAAGTCTGCATCCTTCAAGAAAAACATGATTTTCATGCAGGACAATGCTCCATCACACGCGTCCAAGTACTCCACAGGTGGCTGGCAAGAAAGGGTATAAAAGAAGAAAAACTAATGACATGGCCTCCTTGTTCACCTGATCTGAACCCCATTGAGAACCTGTGGTCCATCATCAAATGTGAGATTTACAAGGAGGGAAAACAGTACACCTCTCTGAACAGTGTCTGGGAGGCTGTGGTTGCTGCTGCACGCAATGTTGATGGTGAACAGATCAAAACACTGACAGAATCCATGGATGGCAGGCTTTTGAGTGTCCTTGCAAAGAAAGGTGGCTATATTGGTCGCTGATTTGTTTTTGTTTTGTTTTTGAATGTCAGAAATGTATATTTGTGAATGTGGAGATGTTATATTGGTTTCACTGGTAAAAATAAATAATTGAAATGGGTATATATTTGTTTTTTGTTAAGTTGCCTAATAATTATGCACAGTAATAGTCACCTGCACACACAGATATCCCCCTAAAATAGCTAAACTAAAAACAAACTAAAAACTACTTCCAAAAACATTCAGCTTTGATATTAATGAGTTTTTTGGGTTCATTGAGAACATGGTTGTTGTTCAATAATAAAATTATTCCTCAAAAATACAACTTGCCTAATAATTCTGCACTCCCTGTATTAAAAGTAATCACTTTCTGTATCACTTTCCCTTTCTCCATTGTGGAGGAATTTTATTCCACTCCACTCTACAGGTTTACAAGTCATACTTGATCAGTCTTTTTCTAATTGTACTCCCATGGAGTGTAACATTTAACCAAGGCCTGTAGAGTATGAGATGCAGCTCTTGCAGTTTCTCTGATTATTGGATCTTCTGTATGTTGGGGTGAATTTGCTGGGATGTTCATTCCTGGGATGACTGGCAGCTGTCTTGAATGTTTTCTACCTCGCTGTAAAATGAAGGACTTTAAATTGTTGGTAAATGACCTTGCGACCCTTTCCAGATTGATGGAAAATAAAAACTGTTTCTCTAAGATCACTGTCTGTCATCTTTGTTGTGTGCTAACACACACCTGATTGCTTCAGAGTAGCAAACACCAAAAACCTCTGCTTTTATAGAGGTGCTCACCCGCGGTCATCAGTTAATCAAGTGCAATCCAAGTTTCTATAGAAACACTAATGTTGTACTTAGTTTTTCACACACTGCTTCTGCATTTTGGCTTATTTTTTGCTAATTAAATGATGACAGAGGGTAATATCTCATTGATTTATCATCTATCAAGTCTTCAACTTCAAGACCTGCTAAAGACCAACATTTTTTCAAAATTTTTATTATCTCCTGATATGTAAATACTTGGAATTTGAAGAGGGTGTACTTTCTTTGGACCATTTCTATGTGATAGATTTCCAACGCATCACAACCATTAAGGCATTTTAAGGATTTCTATTTATTTATTTATGATTTTTTTTGATCACATAACATATTTGTAAAGCTAAACATTTATGGGTCTGCTTGTCAGAGAGTAAACATTGCTGGTGTAAACAAACCTTTTATATGTTGCTAAGTAAATAGAAGTCCTGTAAATCAGTTCAGGAACAGGTTTCAATCAGGAGTGGCTGGCATTTGGCCACACGACAGAATGAGTCAGTCCCACTGACTAATTACAGCTGCTTAGAAAGCAGTGCAGCAGAGTTAGGTCACCATTCTCACATGAAATAATAACAGATGTAATAAATATAATAATTTAAACCACATAACCTTTTTTCTAACTATCACTAAGAGTAAAATAGTGCAGTTAGGCAGTTAAAGGTACTTTAAAAACTTCAGTTGTACCTGCAGTAAAGCTGAAAAACATCAAAGTTGGTTTTTTTTTTCGTTTTCAGATATAGAAATCAGTCAGTTTGATTAAAAAGCAATGAAAGCTTAATTATCAATGATAAAAGAATTTAGTGCAGAGCTGTAAAACTCTTTTCATGTTAGAATTTGGACAAATGTGGTTAAACATGGCTGCATTAAACTGTCTCATCCCATTGTCTGCAATGAAGAAGGACTGTGCTGCACTGTCTTTAGGGGAGTGTAAAGTGTTATTGCTGTGTGTCATTTAATCATAATGAACTCACACTGTAATACATTTGTACAAAATTAGAAAGTGCGAAAAGTGTTTTTGTGTAATTTCTTTTTCATATTTACGTCCTAGAAATGCTTTTCTGCTTGTGAGCCTTAAAGTGTGAAAAAAAAGGAAAAATGTCTCAGTACAGCTACCAGCTGTGGTAGTGTGTGTGGTGACCTGGAGGTCCTCTGTAACAGTCTGGGAGAGTTTGTACAAAAGTCTCCACATGACTCCGGGCCTCTCCTCAGCCATCATCTGTGTAAAGTATTCGTTTGCCATAGATGTCACACTAGCATCACAAGTTCATTAGTTCATTTGTCCACACTTCGATGTGTAAGGTTAATTAATCCTCACAGGGTCATCTTTTGTGCACGTGCAGAGGGTTTCCACACTGTGGGCAGGAGTGATGTGTGTCTTGCATTCCCCGTACCATTAATGGAATGAGACAGAAACCGCAGATGAGCCTGAAACACAAGCACAGAAAACACCAATGAAGCTGTGCTCAAGCTCGTTTAGCGCCGGTGCACATGCACTACTCCTCCTGTGTGAGTGTTTGGGGCTCTTACCCCGCCATTGCAAGAATGACACACCAGCACCAAGCAGCTGTCCCAGGTACATGTGTGACTTTACTGGTTACAAGATGACTGCAGTGTGGGCAGCGTACCAAACCAGGGGCGCCTCTCAGATATTCCACCGCTATGGGAACAGGCTGCGGCTGGCTCACTACTGCTATCGGCTGAGTTTGTCTGCTGTTGACCCGCGGTGCGGCACCGGCTGCCATTCAGGAGACAGATGAAGTTATTAGAAGGAGAGAAGAACATGTAAGGCAGAGGCTTATACACCCACTGGACACTTTGTTAGGTACACCTAGCTAGTACTAGGTTGGACGTCCTTTTTCCTTTCAAAACTGCCTTTACAGCTTCATGGCAAGATTCCAACAAGGTGCCAGAAACATTCCTCAGAGATTTTCCTCCATATTGACATGATGACATCACACAGCTGCTTCACATCCATGATGCAAATCTTCTGTTCCACCACATCATGAAGATGTTGAATTGAAATCTGATGACTATGGAGGCCATATGGTTAGGAAAACCCGTCTGAGATGATTTGAGCTTTGTATATGTGGTGTTTATGCTGCGTGCATATCGTTAGGGTCTGCTTCTCTGTTACTCCTGATAATCCCTGCAGTCAAAGCTTATTTCAAAAGCAGCTTGTGTCCTTGCTGTTGCTGCATCAAAACTCTTAAATGACCTCCCAGATGACCTCGTGCAAGCATCAGTGAAGACTGTTTTTAAATCTGAGCTGCCTTTTCTGTTAAACTTGTGAAACAGTTGAATTGTTGAGCTGTGATTGGAGGATTGGCTGCTGTTAGCTGTTGTTGTTTTTTTATAGGAACCTGTTTATTCTGTTTTATTTTGTGTAACACATTTTGGTTTTAAATATCCTATAGAAATAAAATGTATTTACTTACTTAGACCAAATGACTGACTCTCTTGTTCAATTTTGTTGAGCCAGTTTAAACTGTAGCCTCAGTTTCCTGTTCGTAGCTGACAGGAGAGACACTCAGTGCGGTCTTCTGCCTCGAGGATCGACATGTTGTGTGTTCAGAAATGCTCTTCTGCATATCTTGTTTCCTGATGCCTTTCTATGAGCTAGAAACAGTTTGGCTATTCTCCTCTGACCTCTGGCATCAACAAGGTATTTTGATCCAGAGAACTGCTGTTCACTGGATATTTTTGGCCCATTTTATGTAAACCCTAGAGATGGTTGTGTGGAAAACTCCCAGGAGATCAGCTTTTTCTGAAATACTCAGACCAGCCTGTCTGACGAGAACAACCGTGTCACATTCAAAGCCACGAATGCCACCTTCCTCCCCCATTCTGATGCTCTTTTTCAATTTCAGCACGTTATCTTGACCATATCTGCATACCTAAATGCATTTAGTTACCTCCCTGTGATTTTCTGATGAGATACTTGCATTGACAGTCAGATGAAAAAGTGTACCTAACAAAGTGGCCAGTAAGTGTAAATAGCAGTAAAGAGATCATGCTTATAGTAATGATGTAGTCTTGATACTTGCCTTGTCGGGAACGCGAGGACGCAGCAGCTGGAGCAGAAGCTGCAGCGCGAGCATGAGAAGCATGCGGATTAACTGTAACACAGAAAAACCAAAATTTAACCTAATGTAGCTTTTTAAATACTTACACTTTGACCCTTTAAAGCCTGAACCATGAAATAATTGCCAGAAAGTTCAAGATTTTTGAAAATATTGTGAACCTTCTGAGAAAAAACATATTCATTTGCATGCATGAGTTTACTTTGAAATTATATTTGTTACATTTGTTTCTCTCTCTCTAGTGCTGTTTAGACAGGCTTTCCACGGGGATCACGGTGATGATGATGAAGTCTCAAAAACTCATGAATTAAATATGATACGACAGGCACTGTGGGGTTCAAATACAAACATTTGGTGAGTAGACTACAGACAGCATATGGACTGAGGCTCTTACATTGTGAAACCAGCGTGCAGCACATAGAGACTGAACTGAACTTGCTGAGCATGCCTACATGCCTAAACGCCTTGGTTTGCTGCCATGTGATTGGCTGATTTGATATTTCTGTTAATGAGCAGTTGAACAGGTCTACATAACAAAGTCAATATTAAAAGTGCAATCTTTATACTTTGAGTAATGGGATGGACTATGACTCCAGTGCTTTGGTGGGGAGGCGAGGACACGGCAGTTGGCACAGACAGGACAGGAAAAGGATCTGGCTGAACTGTAACTGTGATTTAAAAAAAAGAAAAAGAAATGTTTGCATGTTATTTTGCAGTCACACTAGGGTTTCCTTCCACACTTTACTTTAAATATATATATTTTTTAATTTACTTCAGAGTGCACTGAAGTGGTTGTCTGGCAGAGTAAAAGCATAAATACACTTAATGACGACATTTCTACAAATCAGCCTGGTAAAACTGGTATGTCATGTAAACAGTATGCCAAAAAATAAATAGAAAAGGACACATGTTAGTGTGTACATCCTGTCAGCAATATCTCACGAGCTGACTCAAGAAATGGGGTTAAAGGAAGCAGAAAGATTTTTATCTCACCTGCTTCTCTGTAGGCAGGTGGAGGTGTCGGTGGGGATGAGAGAGAGGCGTCATAGGCGGGCGGGGGGGCGTTAAAAGCTGCAATGGGCAGAGCAGGAGGTTGGCGACTGGCCTCCTCATATGAAGGGGGGTCCATCCAAACAGATCAAACAGGATTCTGTCATGAAGATGAAAACAGAAATGTAGATAAGAGCAAGTTTGAAATGTGTGTTTTCATCACAGATAGTTAATTACATAAAAACGATGTAAGTCTATACCCAGATATCTTTGATTTGGTACAGTCTTGCTTTCCAGATAAAACCCCAAAAGGGCATTAATGTAAGACTCTTCCTCACAATTATCGAGTCACGTAGCTCCTGCTGTTGATAACATCTGTGCTTTTCCTTCAGTGACAAATTAAATATATTTTTATTTGTCATCACTTTAAAACAGGTTATTTTTGATCTTCATTCACAAGTCGTCACAATCTTCTAGTATTTGGTGGGGAAAAAGCTGACAATGATCTTGCGTTTGGTGAACCCACATTAGCGATTCTTAACACACGACTAATGTCACATGTTAGGTTCTTAACACGTGACACGAGTCATGTGAGACTCTTATCAGAATTGTGATAAAAGTATTCGTGGAGTCAGTCGTGCCCTTTTTCTTTTGCTGTTCTTCTTTTAGGGGTAATTTGTTGGACTGGATTATGGGGAAGTTACTTTTATCAAAAGTTGTACTTACATTAAAAATGTATTTACATGATCCAATGCATCACTTTATAATTTTACTTTTGAGGATTAGTGGAAGCGATGACCAGCTTAAAGTTGTTTACCTGGTCATAAAGGATACAAAGGACATTACGTGTGTGAAAACACTATTGAATTAAGCAAAATTACTTTATTTCCAAGTAATTTTCGCTGGATTACTTGTCATTTAGCTCACTAACAAAAACTGAAGTTCCCACGTACTGGTGCCCACTCCTTTCCCTCATATTTCCACTCTATTATCACTGTGCTATCTAGTCAGAGTCAGACTTATTTTTGTTAGTCTCTCTCTCCAGCATCAAAATATAGAAAACTGAAAAATAGACCATGTGAAAGAGTACATTATATACAAAAAGGACATTTTTTTATTGACAAGACAACATGTATTATATACAGTCTCAGTAAAAGTGCCAGTAATCCAATTAATTAATACATGGTTACGAAAGACTATTGTTTAAAAAAATGACATTGAATCACGTGTAATCACTCTGTTTAGGACTGAATCAGAGAAACTGGGAAAAAAATGGGAATGAATAAAAAAAACCAACATATAAGGTTTTAAGAATGAAAAAATAACATTTTATACCCTGGGCTTTTCCAGCTTGCATTGCAAATGAAATGTGCTGTGTGTACACTAGCTTCTTTCAGTTTATCCTGGTGTTAATGTGGGCGCACTGGAAAGAGTCAATTGTAAAGTATTTTGTGTGGCGGTTTAGCTCTTTGTATGCCAGGCTCTGTGATGCTGGGTCTCATATTACTGCTTTTAAGTCTGAAGCTCTGATTCTGCCGTAATAGCTACTTGCATTATCTCTCCTCCTGACTGCTAACAATGAAAGGCGCTACATATCCAGTCTTTCATTGTTTAGCACTGCTGGTTTAAAGTGACAGCGTCAGAACAGTACACACAGTGTAACATGCGATGGCGTAAATCAGTCTTTTACTCATACTTCACATACTTTAGTGTTTTTAATAATGCCGCACACAGTTAGTTGTGTTTTAATGTAACTATAGAAGCCATATATATATATATATATCAGCAGCTTCATCCCTTTTAGGAATCATAAAAATAGAAACAAATGTCAAATCTAGACTGTTAGTCTATATAGTTGCACTGTTTTTAAACTGGTGTGAAATATTCACCCTTTTAAACGTGTATTACTCATCGTCCACCTTTTTATCAAGATGACACAGAATTATTACAGCATGTAAACACAACTCTGACTGGCAAAGATGTATTTTTCTACCCCTATATCAGAGAAAACCGAGTGTATCAGCCATGAAATGCACCCGCTGAATGCAGTCAAGTCACTCGAGCTCACATGAGACTTCGCTCTTATGTAAACAAGACACATCCAAGTCCCGATACCTGATCCAGACAGGCACAGACCTGCCCCTGCCACATACACATTTCCAATAACACCTGCCAACAACCTTATAGCTCATTACCCGCTAATTAAATAGTGTAATGTGAGATATATCGGAGCAGTGGTCTTACCTTGGGCAAATGAGGAAGAACGACTGGCAGGAGGAAACACGTACCATTGCTGATCATGGTCATCACATCACAGCCTGTTAAACCTGTTCTCCCCTGGAATTGGAAACATTTTACGTCTCACATGAAAACCAACCTGTTTGTCTTATTAGTCACCTCTGCCTATTCAGAGGTTTTCCCTGCAGGAAGAAAAGATTGTTCAACTTAAATCAGTCTATACCTGCTTACTAGCTGGAATCACTATATTTACAGGATCTACAGCAATAAAATAAACTTTTGTAGTATGATTTATTGTTAGATACCCAGCACAAAGACTAATCATTCTTTATGAGGCAATTATGGAAAGTTTTTTAATAATTGGCAATCATTTCTAATATTTCACATTTTTTTTGTAAATGTCACCACTCCTCCTCTCCTTTTTTTACCTTATTTTCTCCTTCTCTCTACGTACACCTCCGCATTTAGTCATTAGCTATTATTAATCTCCAACTCTCTTACACAGTGTGCCCTTTGTCCTGTCTTCCTCTCCTCACTCCCTCGCTCGCAGCAGACGGCTGCCCCTCCCTGAGTCTGGTTCTGCTGCAGGTTTCTTCCTGTTAAAAGGGAGTTTTTATATATGCTCTAAGACAACCGGTGCTTTTTTGGTTTTCTTTTCCTTCTTTCTTTTTTTTTTCATTTTTTCCCCAAAGTTTTGGAAAGATAGTAACTGGACTGGTTCTTATAAAGCGCTTTTCTACTCCACTGGAGTACTCAAAGTTTTATACAACTGCCTCATTCAGCCAGGCAGTCGAGCATATTTGGCAGTTACACATCCACCAGCAGCCTGAACTGTTGGTACTTGGCAGAATGGATCCATTTTTCTCATCCTATCGTCTGAAAGTTGTAACAGAAATTGAGACCCATCAGACCAGGAAATGTTTTTTCTAATCTTTTATTGTCCACTTTTAAAGAATGTATCGTCAGTTTCCTGTTCTTAGCAGACAGAAGTGATGCGGTCTTCTGCTGCATTTAGAGATGCTCTTCTGCGTACCTTGGTTGTATGTAGTGGTTATCTGAGTTACTTTTGCTTCTGTTCATCTCAGAGGAGTCTGGCCATTCTCCTCTGACCTCTGACATCAACATGCATTTTCACCCAGAGAGCTGCAGCTCCCTGGATATTCTCTCTTTTTCTGACCACTCTCTGCAAACCCTACAGATGGTTGTGGTGAATAATCTCTGTAGATGACCATTTTCTGAAATTCCCAGACCACCCTGTCTTGCACTATGACAATAAGTGCCACATCAAGTAACTTAAATCACCTCTCGTCCCCATTCTGATGGTCACTTTTAACCTCAGCTGGATACTCTGCACACCTAAATGCATGTGAACAGTGAATGGATGTGCATTATTATTATTATCATTAGGCAGGTTAAAGCATATTATTATTGAATTAGTTAACTTTTTAAGCCTAGAGCCATTTCAAATACTTCTCAATCAGCTCAACAAATATCAGGAAACACAAACTTTTTCTCTCCAGTTTGTCACAAATTGTGTCTGTGAGCGCTACAGCTGCTGCAGTGTTAAAGTGACGCAAGAGAAGAAGATGAGGGGTTATTTGCAAAGGTAAGGACTGCTCAGCAAGTGAAGTTTTAGAAAATCAAATTTAGATCTGCAATTAATGTTGATTCATTTTAGAGTTTTTTAACCAAATGTTGGATCAAAATTGCCAAATTATGTCTGTAAAATATCTTCCGAAACAAATTAAATATACGAATTTTGTCTTATTCAGAGCTTGCATGAAAACAGCTGGCAGTTTAGTTCAGGCTACACCGGTTAGTTTGCTGTATCGTGATAACGTTTACAATGATGCACTATTTGGGATGGAAGTACTGTTACTAGGTTGCATCAGGGGTGTTAGGATCTTTGGGTCCTAACACCTCCTAGTTTCTTGAGTTTTTCTTGCTCCTCCCAGTTTCTTAAGTTTTGTGGGTTTTTGGTTCATTCTTGGAGTTATTATGTGATTACACTCTAGTTCTTCATGTCCTAGTCATTGCACGAGTTATCACCCTCATACCTTTCTGACCTTTTGAACTGGTACACTCCTGCAAGATCACTGAGGTCTGCAGATCAAATGTTTCTAGCTGTCCCAAAGTCCAAATTAAAGCACAGAGGAGATCGGGCCTTTGCCGTGACTGCTCCTAAACTGTGAAACAAACTGCTGTTTCACATCAGGACCTTTTATTCCTTGGCTTTTAAATGAGAATAAGTTCAGACTACTTTTATTTGTCTTATTTCTTACTCAGATCTTCTCACTTTATGCTTCTTAGATTTTGTCATGTCTTCCTATGTTTTTATCTCTTTTGATTTGCTCAACAGTTGTTGTTTTAAATGTACTATATAAATAAATTCAAGCTCGTTGCTGTAACCTGTTTGTATTTTGATCTTTTGAGTCTGTAAAATTTAGTTATCTTCATCTATGGCCCTGGTCATGCTTCTGTGTCTCACTGTGCCCTGTCCCTATGGTCGGTCACCCTGTTGTCTCAGGTCAGTCATGTCTCTGTGCTTATTTAGTCTTTACCTGCATCTAGTTTGTCTCGAGTCCGGGTCTCTGTCTCTGTGTTTGTTTATTTCTGGTCTTATTTTGATCGTCTCTTATGTGTGCATTGTGTTTTTGCTTCTTCTGTCTTGTTAGCCTGATTTAGTTCAGCTGTGCTCCCTGGTGCACTCCATCTCCCTCATTACTTCCTGTGTCTGTTTAAGCCCTTGTTTGTCTTTCCCTCAAGCTGTGTGTCCTGTGAGTTCCTGTGTAGTTTCCTAGCTTGTATTCCCACATGTCTGCTTAGTCTTTCTATTCAGTCTCATGTAAGTTCAGCAATAACTGAGTTCAGTTCTATGCCTGAGTCCTCCATATTGTATAACAAATACCTCTCACACAGTGATAAAGGGTAGCAGACATTAATTTATATTTGAGGTGATGCTGATTAGATAGACGCACTGGTTTCTACTTTTTACACTAGATTTATCATATTAAGGGGGTTAGAAATAAGCCACATGGCTCACAACACATACAGTTATGTCTTGTTGAATTCAAGATAAAGAGCAGTGAATATCAGAGCAGCAGCACAAGTCAGCTGATCACAGTTTGTACACAAAGAGACTCACAGAACAAATCATTACGTGACTCGTTTCCAAGAAATCTCTAAGAAATTCTTTTCACTGCACTGCTACGTCCAACCTTGATCCTGGTCCATCGTGTCCTCGTAATCCTGCTGAAGCTCAATTTTATGACACATTTGGAGAGTTTGTATAAATATTACCGTCTGTGTTGAATGTGTCAAATCCAGCCGTGTGAAGCACTCAACAGACATATAAAGAAGCAAGCATCAAGACAAAAAGTTTAAAGCTTTTTCACAACAAAGCCAACGCTTTAAACCTGTATCACTTTTATTAAGAAAATTCAAAGTTGCTAGGTTGATCCTGATTGGCCAAAAAGTGACATTACAGCTCATCTTTGGATGTTTTGTTGGTCTTTTCCTCTGCGGACTCATTGGGCTCCTGAAAAAGAGGAAAACGTGTGAACTGTGGATTATTTTTAAAAGAAAAACAGCATAAATCTGCAGCGTTAACACAAACCTTGCTATCGCCAGCAGCCTTGTCGGCTTCCTTCTTCTCATCCACCTCATCCTCATCATCATCATCATCATCATCATCGTCGTCGTCGTCATCCTCATCCTTTTCCTCTTTAGGTAAAACTCCTCCACCATCCAGGAATTTAGAAAATGTCTCCAGGTCCCTTTCTCCAGTGTATTCGATCACCTGAGAGAAAAGGAAAGAATGCAGTGTGTAGAGGTGTGTGTGTGCGCGTGCGCGTGTGTGTGCGCGTGTGTGTGTACCTCTTTGTCACCAGCTGGGAAGTATTTGAGTGTTGGGAAACTCTTAATGTCAAGAGACTCCACTTCATTGGCTGTGGCGTCTATTTTGGCTATGATGATGTCATCATGGTCGGCATATTTCTCACCAAGCTGATCCCAGATGGGAGCCAACTCCTTGCAGTGTCCACACCATGGAGCATCTACACTCAGACACACAGAGATACACATACAAGGAACCTCATTCTAATGTTGGTGAAGATGAATTAATGAAAGGTGGATTATTTCAGCTGTATGTTACAGTAAACACAGAGGAATAACCATTTTAGAGATCTGCTTCGTTGCTTAAAGGAAATGTGGAAGGATAGGAGGTTCTTACCGTGTTTGAACAAACCTTAAGTTCAGCTAAATAAACGTAAACTCCCTTAATGCCAACTCCCTGTTTGGTGCATACTAATCTCCACACATTATATGGACCAAAGAACTTAGCCAACACGATGTTCCACCAACAGGAGCTGCTCGACGTGTAAACTCATGCCATGAAGCTCCTGGTGCACAGTTTCTGTGCTGATGTTAATGACAGAGGTTTGGAGCTCTGCAGTTCCTGAGTCAGCAGAGAGTTGGCGTCTTTTATGATCTATACGTGGTCTACCAACACTTACAGCTGATCGTGGAATTTATAGATGTCACAGAAAATGTTACAAACTGACTTGTTGCTATGATGGCATCCTGTTACAGAACCGATTCTTTCATAAATGTTTGTAAAGGCAGACTGCATGGCTAGGTGCTTGGCTTTATACACCTGTGGCAATGAAACTGAAAGCACCTGAATTAAAAGGCGTTTCCTAATCCTTTTGTCCACATAGGGTATGTTCTTTATTTTAGAAATCCAGCTGAACTGTTGGCCTGTCTTACTGCTCTTGCCCCATCTGACTTTAGAGTAGTGACATGGCCACGTTAACAATTACTTGTGTTAAGTGAGAACAATAATCTTCTTACAGAGTATGTGCCCTTTCTCCACCTTAATGGGTGGGCCAATCTGAATGAAACTTGCATTACTAACATCTAGATGGTGTTTTTTTGTAGATCCATTATAAACCCCAGCTCTGTTAATTTTCATGATATCATGTTCATTTTATCATACCTCTATAAATGTGATGTTATCTTCTCTGTTTGCGTTTCTTACTTTTGTTCATCTATTCACCACCAAATACAGAATGAAGAATTTGAAAAACTGTCGCAAGCCTGGCATGAACTTTAGGATTGGTTGTTGCTAACTAATATTACCTTTTTGCAGTTGTGTGACTCCATCCATATACTAAAGTTGGAATGTACTTCTGATTGTGTCCAGACTCAAGATACATGCAGTGCAGACGCTGAACGAATTTATTAATCGGTGGACACAAAAGGTCAGCATCACCAGATCAGCATCTGACTGAAGGTGAAATATCGTCACGGTCTCACCCTCTGCTTCTGTGTGCGTATGGCGCCGAATATTGGCCAAAAAAGTGTTTTTGAAGAACAACACTATGGCAAAGCACAGGTGACCATCGACCTTCTGGCTTTAAAATGCTATTTTATTAGACATTTTGTGGCTGTAGTCTTGACTGGTTGCATTGATGTTTGGCCAGCAAATTCTAATCAGCTGTTCAGTGTGTGCAAGACAACGTTTAAGCAAATTTTGGCAGGATTAAAAGATTAAAAGACAGCCACAGCATAATTATGCCTCGAACATATAAAAAGAACAGGTGTGAATTTATACTACTTTTTCTCCAGGCTAAGCCTTTTTCCCAAATCCGGATCTTTCTCCACATGCCCTGCTTTGATTACAGGAGTGGAATCAGTTGCTTGATGGCTTGAGTTTCCAGCTGCCAATCATCTGCAATCATCTTTGCCTCAAATACCGGTCCTTAGCTCCAGCATGCTGCCCAATCACATAATCAGCCGTTCAGTTCCTCGGGCCACTCACTAAACCTCTTGCTAATTCCTTGCTGATCCACTCCTGGAGTGGACCTCCTCTGGTCTCCAGCTTGCACAGATTACTTGTGTCTGAGTGTCCCTCTCTGCTCTCACTGGCTCGGATTAGCCTTCGCTCTGTGTGCACGCTGCCAGCTCCGACCCTTTTACCAGCTCATTCTGCTTCTCTGTATCAAACACTTCATGATGTTCTTTGGTAAACTGTAAATAAATATTGCTTGACCATGCTTCTGCTTCCTGTCGCTTCACTTTGAGTTCTCTCCAGCTTTAACACAAGACTTGAATGATAATGTTATCATATATAGATACTGCATCTAATATCAGTACCTCCTTCACTCAGTAGCTTAATCTACTTCTGTTAGTGCTTGTTTTGTGTCCTCTTCTGTAGTTTCTGTAACATTAAAATCGTTCAGTATGCTATAGACTCTTCAGCCTTTGCTCCATGCTCTCTTGTTTTGTTCAGAAGTAGTAAATTCAAGGAGTTTTCCCTCCTTGAATCCACTGTTGGTGGATATGCAAATATTTTTCTTGTCAAAGGTTTAAAGACTGCATTGGAAATGTCTATCCTCGGTGTTTGTGCAGGGTTCCAGCTGCCAAATTTCCTATTAGACCAGGACTCGCTTTTAAGTTATTAAGATGTCGGAAATCCTGCTCACAGGTAGGCTCATTAAAGTAAGATGAGACACCGGAGCAACTCCGGTGCCGGACTCTAAAAATCATTTAGCGAAGCAGCTTAAATCAAGGACTAATGAATTTGAAGTCAGAGAAAAGTGATGATCAAAGTGATGTTGCCAAACTTCACTGCAAATTTGATTGAGTTGAATAATAAATGAACGCTCTGATTTCACAAGATCCCTGTCCAGGATTTGACTTACAAAACTCCACAAACGCATTTTTGGTCGGGTCCAGAGCGACGGAGTCAAAGTTCTTTCCCACCAGGATTTTAACTGGTCCTTTGTCCCAGTCCTCTGGGATATCCTCTGACCGATAGTAAGGCTGCAGAAGAAAAAAGGACCAGTTAGAAGAACTCGTACTTCTACAGTACTTTACTAGTTACATTACTTCACTCCAAGTGCTTTTAACCTAACATTCACAGTCACATACAGACTTGAGAAGGTGGGGACTGTGTGCGTTTGTAGTACCTTTGCAGTACCATCCACAACCTCTTGGCACAGCTGTCGTAGTGAGTCTATGGTCAGTTCCTCTGAGTCATTGGCGTACTTCTTTCCTGTGTCCATATTAATGATGCGCATCGTGGGGGCGTCGTCCTTGGACACGGCAAAGTAGCTCAGCACGTGTGACAGGGGCTCTGACACGTCTATCAGAATGAACAGCAGCTGTAT